ATGCTCAGGGAAAGGCAGTGAAATAAACTCCTCCCTCCTGCTCCTCAAGTTTTTGAAGTCCCTGGAGCTTTCCATTCTCTTTTTTTTATTCTGTTCATGAGTAGCTGCAATATCGATTTGGAATGATAAGGGAGGTACATGCACATCTCACCTGGCTCTTTGTGACTAGTAGATTTTAAGCTGCAGTACTAAACTGTTTGTTTTACTTGCTTCCAGATACTTTGGTAAGAAATACAACATAACAGTAAATTTAGAAGCATTTTCTGGTAGATTGGTGGAAAATCATACCCAATAAAAGGTGAAAAACTTAACCCAACTTTCAGCCAAAGTGCCCCTGAGCCCACGAGCTTTGCAATGCAGCTGTAAATCTCACAGCTTGGAGAACCACCTGCCTTCCCTCCACAAAAGTAGGAGCTCCTACAGAGCCAGTTCATGAGCTGGTCACCCCTCCAGACACCAAATCCCCTTCTGCAGCTAAATCCTTGAATCTGTGATTTTCTTACCTGTTGAAGATGCACAGCAGGGTTGTGATGAGGTATCTGGAAGTTTCTATCTTTTTTCATGACTTTGTGGAGCCTTTGGGACAGAAGCTGCTTGGTCTGGAGTTTCCCATGTCTTTGAGCTATGCAGCTTAGGGCTTGGCATTTGAGTAATTAGCCCCAGGTGCCCCCAGCCCCATGGATTAATTGGCATTGTTAGGGGCAGGTGTGGACAGTTTCTTCTGCTGGCAGCTATCCACCTCCTCAGCTGATGTGTGACCTTTTCCCACACAGCAAAGTTTCCTTTTGCATTGCCTCATTTTGCTCTGACTGTTAGTGATGTTTCTGAAGGACAAGTCAGCAGCTTGTATGAATGCACACAGGCAATCAGTTCGGTTTGCAGCTGGAAAATATTGAGTAATGAAGCAACAAACCACCACAGTAAAGAACAAACTTTGCAAAAATGGTTATTATAAATTATCATATCTACAAAGTGATTTCCACCAGGCTTTTAATTCCTGACTTTAATCAAAGCTTGGGTGGTGTCTGCTGAGAACAACACGCTGTTCTTCTGTAAAAAAAGATGTTGAATATCTCCTCACTCTCCTTTTGCACAGCAAGAGTTTTGCCTGTCTGTTTTCCAAGTCCTTTTGCATGGTTGCAAAGAGGGGGATAACAGTTCAGGAGAGCTTTGGGTCCATCCCCACAAATCCTTCCCTTCCAGGCTTTTAAGGACCTCAGCAATGTATTGAAATTGCAAAGAGCAGTTCCCACCTGCAGGCCGAGGATTGAATGATGCTTTGGGAAGCATTTGCAGGCAGCTGCTCTCTTCTCTAGCAACAGGAAAAGAGCTGGTTCTTCCCCACTTGTAACTGCATTGAGCATCTGAACTGCTCAGTGTTCCAGTTCCCACTGAGATGTGCAGGAGCCTGAAGTTCATTGTGTAGAGAAGCACTAGGAGATAGGCTTGACCTTGGGTTTTACTTACACATGTGTGCTAGGAGACTTCAGCAGCAAAATGAGAAGCTCTGGGGCAGAGGAAATATTGGCAGCCCCTGAGAGCAGTGCCTGAATGTGCACAGCTACTGGTGCAAAGCTGATGCTTTGTGTGCCTTGAGGAGCCAGTCTGATGGGAGAGCTCCCATTGGAAAGGAATAATCCAGGCATGCTAGATTTTGCCCATGAACCAGAATTGTAATTCCCCAACCATTCCCTTCTTCTCTTCTCCTCCAGTGTGTCTGTGGGTCATGCAAAGTGTCTCTGTGTGACTGCCCGTGGGGATGGGCCCAAGGAGGGCAAGAAGGAGCAGGATAGCAGCAGCAATTCCTCCCAGGAACATGCTGAGCTGAGGGAGCCTGGTCATGAGAACTGTGACCAAGTGGCCAGGGCTCCTGAGGATGCTGATCTGCCAAGCAGCTCCTCTTGGGAGATGAAGCTCCTCTCAGCAGCGAGAGGATCCCCTTGGCTGTGAGTGCATGGGCCGAGATGTCCATCCCATGGTGATAGTCCCTCAGGCCCCAGGAGAGACAGACCTCAGGAGAGACCAGAGACCAAGGTCCTCCCCGGGGCAAGGAAGCACATGTCAAAGAGGAAAGCCATGGACACTCCAAGGAGACCCCTGGAAAGAGGAAGGTGAGAGGGGGAGGTGGGTTTGTACTAGGGCCAAGGTGGTTGAAAAACCCATGTGGAGTTTCCCCTCCGTACGTTGGGAGTGGAGTTATAATGCTCCTCCTAGAAAGGTATTATCAAACATACCAAGTGAGCTGACAGTTTGCACACTTTGTGTTGTCAAATCTATAGAGTGCAATTAAGAAAAAAACACCTGTTAGCCTTCTGCCTTAATTGGTTCCTGTTCTGGAAGGCAATGGCAGCAATTTTAATGACTGTTTAAAATCTCACCTCTCTCAGATTCTTGTTAACCAAAGCAGTACCCCCTGCACATCTGGGGGACCTGAGTGATCTCGCTCTCCCATACATGTAGTTTTTCCCTTCCCTTTGATAAGGCATGTCAGAGAACACAATTGCTTACAGCTCTTGACTTTGCCACGAGGAACCTGAATCCATTTCAGTACGACCCATACCGAGACCTATGGCCACGGCACCTTCTCCTCCAGGCCATGCCACTCCCTGCCCAAGGGCACCGTGAGCAACAGCAGTTTGCACACCAAGATCTCAGCTTACCCAGCACTGGCAGCCAAGGTCAAGAACTCCGTGGTGGAGGCCAGGGAAGTCAAGCAGGTTTTTGCCAGCCTGGCGAAGGGGAAGGTTGTGCTGAAGAACTGCAGGCCTTCCCTCTGGAGCTTTCCCTGTTCCTGCCTCCACTGTGGCACCCCTGTCACCTCCACATTCCAGCCAGCAATGCCAATTCCAGGTCCACAGGAGGAGTGGGAGCCCATGAAGCTATAGCAAGCACTGATTGTCCTTCTGCCCTGGCAGGAGTTTCCCTGAGCTAACACAGCCCAAACTATTTTGGGGCTGTTTTTCAGTGATATTTTCTAGTGGTTGTTAGTTTATTTATTTATTGTATATATATTTATATATATTTAATATACATTTATATTCAACAAACCATGTTTCTTTTAAGCTGAGATCTGTTACCCATTGTAGGTGACTTTGCTTTCTCTCCTTGGCTTGGCTTACTCTTTTCAAAGACAAATGGGTGTTTTTGGGGTGTTTTGTTTTGCAAAACAGCTGTGTTAAAGTCAACTGCAGTTTCTCAGCTCTGTGCTGCTCTCCAGACACCACTTGGCAGGCTGTGCTTTCTGCTTTCTCTGTAGTCACTGCACTTTGAGTAACTCCTGCCCCTGCTGGAAACTAACAGTGTTCCTGGGCATTTCTGCATGTGCTTCCTTAGACTTTGTGTTCCTGAAAGAAGGACTTGTGCACATCACACCAGCCGTGTGTGCTCACTGCTGCCTTGCCAAGGTACAGGGCTCCTGGCATTCCCCCTGGGTTTTTCTCCTTTCCTCCTCAGTGTGGCTTAGGTTAAGGTTTTCTTTGGGTCCAGCATTTCACATCATAGCATCGTGCACTTTTGTTGAGCCACCAAGCACCACTCACTGTGGTGATGTTTCCCTGCTCCAGTCACACTCCCAACAAGGTGCTTTGAAGTACAAATGTTTTATTGCAATGTTTCATTATTTACAGTACCGTTCACTTTGTCCCTGGGTGCTACCAAAGTGCAAACACTTTCGGCCAGGAGAGCTAAGTGATGCTAACTCAACAGCAAAACATGACTGTGCCTCACGCTGTGCTGTCCTGCCTCTCCCCTGCTCCTCACTGCAAAGAAGTTTGCTGCTCTCCCTGTTCACTTGGGACAACCTGGGCACGTGGAACTTTGGTCACAATGGATTGTCACTTGTTCAGGGGTTGCAGGGACAGGGATCTCCAGTCTTTCCAATTGGACTTCACTTGGAATTCAGGTTTTTCTGATGTCTTTGCACTCAGGACTGTCAAGTTCCTATTTCAATTTTTGATCTAAATTCAGTCCCAATTATTTTTCTTGCTGATTCTCTTTGGTTTATGCAAGCTTTTCATCATCTACCTCTCTTGAGGCTACCTTAAAAGAACCAGTACCTTGAGAGTGACCAGAGTTGCTGCTGGATACTGAAACTGGTCATGTCATCTCCTAGAGCTGCACTTAAAGATCTTTAGAGGACACTGCAAATTTCATTCCGTGTTTCCATTTTGTATAAAAATGGGGATTCAAGCTCCACTGAAGACTACACTTTCACACACTATCATCTCACAGCAGGACAAACTGCACTCATTTCTCCAGAAATGACCTCTCCACAGCAACTTCCCTTTGGAGAAGAAGGGTAGGAATGACCAAGCTTATCAAAGACTAGAGAATTCCAGTGGCTAAACTCAGGTCAAGAATCCTTTCAGCTTTCTAACAAGTGTATTAGCTCGAGAAAGTCCTTTGAAAGGGTTTTCAGACTGATCTCCACTGCTGCCAGCAGTCCCTTGGGAGGTGAGCAGTGACCCTCCCTGCCTCGGCTCTCTGTGTGCATCAGGGACATCGTTACCTTCTAAAACTGAAGACACCTTGTGTTACAAAGCTCTTGTACAATTAGGAAATGTTTAAGACTCCATTCCAGAAAATAAGTTACATTAAATGGCACTCAAGTCCTGCAGGACACATGTAGCAGGGATGATGAGTGAGGCTCAGCAGCAGGAACTGCTGCTCGCTCTCCTCACCCCACGTTCACAGTCCAAAAATGAGTCTCTGCAACAGCTGCCACGAATGATTCTGAAATTACAGCTTCTTAAAAACGAGATGATTGCAGCTCCTGGCAGGTTTTCCCCTCTGAGTCACACTTTTATCCCCTGTTTTCACAGGCTTTTCTGTATCACTACTGACAGGAACACACCAAAAGCTTTACAGCTGCAGAAGGTACCACTTTCACAAAGAAAATGCGTTGGGTTTCTCTCTTCACCTACCGGACAAAACACAGTGTTTAAAAGCTCTGCAGTGCCTCCCTGGTGTCACTCCTTTGGAATCTGCAGGAGGTGCAGAGCTCACATGCAGTCCACAACGTTGCTGGATCCTTGGCCCACGTCCCGGATCTGGCTGCTGAGACAGGAGCACACGGCCACCCCTGCCCCTGCCCGGCAGTGGGACACCGAGCCCACGAGTTCCCACCTGAGGGAGAGGGCACAGGGGAAAGGACAGTGAGCTCCTGGCCCTTCAGAGCACCCTGCAAGTGTCTCACATTCTACCACAAGCCTGGCTGTTTGCATGAAAATGCACCCGAAGAGCTGATTGTTCCTCTGGCAAACTTGGTGCAAAACCAGACTGAAACACGCAGAAGAATGTGGATTGTTGTCGAAGAAAGGGGTGAGGATAAGGGATGGAGAGGAGGGAGGAGGTGCTTAAATATTGGCAGCAACCATCTAGCAGCACTGGCAGCAGTGCTGCACTGATAGTCATGGATATTACTCAGGTATTCCCAGGAAACAGGCACAGGCAGCAATGCTGCACTGATAGCCATGGATATTACTCCACCACTCCCAGGGAAACAGGCACAGGCAGCAGTGCTGCATTGCTAACCACGGATCTTACTCAGCCATTCCCAGGAAACAACAGCTAGGCTCCTCCTGGACACTCCTTCCCTCACGCTGTGTTTTCACATAGGCAGATCTCACTGTCTCGTTAAGCCAACCCAAACACTGGAGATTACCTGTTCACTATGGGATCAAAAGCTTCCACTGTGTTGAGGTACACGTTGCCATTATGACCTCCAACTGCAAAGATCTTCCCCATCAGAGTGGCTATGCCCACACCACCCCTGGGTGTTGTGAGCTCTGCCACATACTCCCATCTGTTGCTGCGTGGGTCGAACCTCTCCACCGAGCTCAGTGGGGAGTTGTCATCAAAGCCACCTGCAAAGAACCACCACGTTATCAGTTCTTAGCCACATCTGGGGCAGGTAGTATCCAGCACTGGCACTGTCAGCCTGTTCTCAGCATTCAGTGGGTATCCAGCTCTCTGTTTACCAGAACATTACAAACTCCTAAAGCTTAATCTAACAGCTCTCCCTCCTGCCCTGCACAATCATGGCCAAGAGGAGAGTTTTCTTCTACCCAAGTTGCAAGGAGAGGTATTTCTATTCTTTTTCTCCTTGAATTCATCATACTTATAATGAAACAGCTTCCCATTTGGAATAGAAAAAAAATCTAAGACCAGTAAAAAGATGGTCCTAATCTTAAACTTCTTTCAGTGTTTCAAATTGCAGCACTGACAGATACTTGAGCAGGAAAACAAAAGCCTCATGTGGTGCATTCCCCTTGCGGCAGCAGCTGTCAGAGGGGCATTTTGCTCTGAACCTTAGGATAACAGACAAGTCAGAGCTCTGCAACTGTCACCATGACCTCCCTGGCATCTTCCTCCCTCCTGAGGTAAATATAAGGCAGAGCACAGGACAACAGGCTGTGGAGTAGGTGCAGTCACCGTGCAGAGAAGTTACTGTTGTCCACACTCAGAACAAAATTAGAGTCCTCTAAAATGTGTGAGCTTAAGAATCAGTTCCTAAAAGGAAACTCAACTTCAGTGAGGCTTGAGAGGGTTTTCTAATACAGACATATGGTCCTGACCAGTATAGCTCTGTTGAAATGTGTGCTAGGAACTGGTTTTTACTTCCTTGCTAACACACCTTCCTTTAAGCATGCCCTGCTTGTGCTTGCTTTCCTCTCCTTCTCCTGCCCAAGTACAGCTCAGGTCTGTCTGTTCCCTGGTTCCTCTAGCAACAACAGCCTCTTCCAAAGGTACTTGGCAGCAGGAGCAGTAGAAAATGCCACCTCCCTACTCACCCACAACGTACAAGCAGCCATGGAGCTCGCTGACCCCATTGCCAGCTCTTCGCTGACCCATCTCCTTCACCTCTATCCACTTGTCCAAGTGGGGATCATACTTCTCCACACTGGAAAGAGATGCTACACCATCATTGCCACCCACGGCGTAAACATGGTTCTGGGAAACAGGTGCACAAAGAAAGATTATTGGTGATGTAGTTGTCTTTATTCAGATGTTCATAAGCAATGTTGAAAGGGCAGGAAAACATGGTTATCCACACAGCCCCAATTACTGACCTTCAGAATTTCAGCAACAGACTTAATTATCTTAGTTATCAAAGCCAGGATGGATGAAGCCTTGAGCAACCTGCTCTGGTGGGAAGGTGTCCCTGCCCAGGGCAGGGGTTGGGCTGGGTGATCTCTAAAGGGCCACTCCAACCCTCAAGATTCTGTGATTCTATCTAACATCAATGCTATCTTTCAACTAAAGAACTGCAAATGTTTTGAGGTGTTGTAGCCATTTTGCAGAGCAGAGATGGCAACAGGGGGATTAAAGTGTGGTACCTTTAATCATAGTGACCACAACAAACCAATCTTGAGTGAGACAGGAACCACCAGGCACGTTATCAAAGGGTCCTAGGACTTATTCCCAGGACCTCAAGTACTGCTGAAACAAGGAGCACAGCTCAATTTGTTGTATTATCCTAAACAGCCACTCCTTTAGTACAGTTCACAGAATCAGAGCATTTTAGGGGTTGGAATGGACCTTACAGATCATCTAGTCTCAGCTCTGGAGAGCTCCCCAGGATTGTGCTGACCAGAGGTGCTCAGCCCCATCAGCTGCATTTTGTTTAGGATGTCGTGTTCTGCCTTCTAACTGAGAAGCAGGTTGGTTCCTCAGTTGGCCCCAGCCTGGGAGGAGGAAGTCACTTACCACAAGGGCCACGGAGCCAACTCCTCCCCTGGGAGTGTTCATGGGGGCGACGGCGCTCCAGCGGTCGGACTCGATGTCATACCTCTCCACGTCACTGAAGCAGGTGTTGTCATCCAGACCTCCTATGGCATAGATGGGGCCACCAAGGGAGGCCAGAGCGATTCCTCTCCTGAGGAAACAGCAGGGTCAACACCTCAGTGCAAATCCTTAGGGAATGACAATAGAACCATAGAATTTCAGGGGTTGGAATGGACCTTAGAGATGATCCAGCCCCAACTCCCTGCCCTGGGCAGGGACACCTCCCACCAGAGCAGGTTGCTCAAGGCTCAGCCAACCTGGCTGTGAACACTGCCAGGGTTGGGGCAGCCACAGCCTCCCTGAGCAACCTGGGACAGTGTCATCAAGTGCAATGTTCCCTGACTGGCACCTGTTTCAAACTATGGGGATAAAAGCAATGCAGAAGTAAAAAGTGAAGTTTCTGGTACACAACGGCCAGTGGCTGTGCTGACCCTCCACACACCTGTGCCACGGGGGCATGGAATGCTGCTCTGACTGGGTGTCACCCAAGGCCCAGCTCCTCTACTTGGATATATGAGATAGATATTTGATGTCTCTATCTCAGGACTGAATTTTACACCTACTTTGTTTCACTGAACCTGAAGAAGAAGCACTGGGTGGAAGTCTGTTGGTACAGCTCTGTGCCACCACTTGGGAATGACTGGGAGAGTGGATGTTAATACACATCAAAAGGCAAACCTGTGCTGGACATTAGGTGACTGAACTCTAGCAAGGTTTAATCACCATTCTGATATTTGTTGGTTAGGTCTGTGCTCAAATGGTTGTCAGATTTGTTTCTGCTGAATCTACCAATGTAAGAGTACTACAAAATGAAAAGTATGGCCTGGAGTGTAAGCATTGAGCTCCTGCTTTAACCCTCAGGACAGGTGATTCACTCTGTCACTGAGAACAGTCTTGTCTCACCACACAGGGGTTTGCAGATACCCTGGCAGGAGCACGGGAGGAACAATCCTCCCACAGAACAAACACTGTGGCAATATCCTCGACTTGTCCCAAATCCCCTCAGCACAGACACCGTTCATGGTGGCAGTTTTCTCTCCACTAAGTACTCCCACAGCACCTCCGTGACAGGAGTAGTGGAGCAGCAGCCCTTCCCACTTAGCCAGGGACTGAGCAACAAACGTCAGAGGAATCTAGGGCTGATGGCTGCTCAGATTAAGCCCTGGGGTGGTGGCAGGAGGGGGAGGAGGAGAAAGCCACTCCTAGGAGTCTGGGTCTTCTGCTTTGATTAGGTCACAAATAGCTTTAAGACCTAGCCATGCTCAGTATGTCACTCCTACTTGTACATGATGCTTTTAGAAACAACAAAGCACAAAATGGAATGTAGAATTAAGGAGCCTGGTTTAATTAACAGCCAAAACAAAAAGTTACAGATCCGTGAGTACAGTAACTTCTTAACAGAATCTTAAATGTCAAAAGGCAAGAAAAGTCCTCAATCTGACTTTCAGTGTTTTACAGCTTCTGGCCTTTTGTGACAAACACATAGGCAGCTGTTTGTTTCCTAGGCATGAAGTGTTCCATTTTCCATGGTATGCTGGCAGTTATCTTGCTCCTTCTTAGGAAGAGAAAAAAACCCCCACAGAACCATTTCAGCAGTTTCAAGCTGTTTATCAGGCACAGCAGAAAGGCCCCAGGTAATGTAAACACAGCTGGAGCAGAAGAGTCTCTGCTCCAGAATCCAGCTCCCCAAATAAAGAAGAAAAGGATAACCCTTTTATAACATAAAGCTCCAAAATGGGGGAAAAGGTTCCTAAAATAGCACAGTGTAAAAACCCAAATAAAGGCAGGACAAACATAATGTGTTGGAGCATCAGCAAGATATGATTTATCACAGACTAGGACTTAGATTTTGGATCATGAGAAACATATACCTCTTTGTGTTCATTGATGCCTTCATCATCCACTTGTTTGTGAGAGGATCAAATACTTCCATGCTTCCCAAGTGTTCATTTCCATCGTGTCCACCTACTGCATAGACTTTACCTGAACACAGACACAACTTTTGGTACAGAGATTGCTTGGCAACATTTCAGGCTTCATTTATACAACATCCCTGCCCTACTGGAGACAAAGAGCTCAAATAAAGGTGAAAGCTTTTAGATGTTTTCAATACCAGGACTTTTACACAAAGCC